CACTTGTGCCAAAAATAATAATTCCAGATCCTTTAAAGGTCAGTGGGTTTGGTCCTTGTGGTCAGCACAGTGGCCTGGTGTCCTTTCTGCTTCCCATCAGTCACAGCCATTTGCATGCTGATAGGAATATATGATGGTTTTGGGTGGTTTATGTGTTTTGTGTTACTTTTGAAGTGATGAGCAGGCTCTGCTCACAGAATTAAAGGTGTTAAAATATATTTATGTGACCTGAAAAGTGCCAGGGTTCAGCAGAGCATAAGGAAACTGCTCTGTAATACCGAAAGCACTGAAAAAGAAGGAGCTGATGGTGAAAAATTCTATAGAACAAGCAATAAATGTAATATTAATCCATTCTTTTAGTTACTCTGAGGAAATCCTGTGAGTGTTGCAGAGCCTGGCTGTGTAAGGTGCCTTCTGTTGAGCCAGCAATAGTTAAGTGGAATTTCATTCACTTCCTGTGTTGCAAGTTTTGTTGAAAGTAGTTCCGCTGTTTCTATTTTTACCCTGATCAGAGGAGCCTGAGCTGCCTCAGGGTTACAAAAGACAGCTTGGGATCACCTCGAGCGTTTCCACTCACTGCTTCTGTGAACACGAGCGCTCAGAAAACTCCTGAAATTCTTCTTTTTGAAGGCAGGCATATCAAACTCTCTGCTGAAATCAAACTGCTCATGCCTGGCGCATCTGAAAGCCCCTGTGACATGAGAACCTCACATCTTTGTGGTTTCTGAAAGGTGCATTTTACTCGTTGGAGTCGTTAAAAGACTGTTTGGGTTTCTTTTTTTTTTTTAATTTTTTTTTTTAGCTCTTCAAGTATAAAATTGTAAGGTGCAGTTATAGGAAAAAAACCTGTGGGTTTGTGGTTGGTGTTTTCATAAGTAGTGGAGCTTGCACTTTATCCTGTGGATGCTAACTGTGTCACCTAAACAGAATCTGTAAGAGTAAGAAATGAGGACAATAATTACAGAGAGTGAAGCATTTTGAGGTTGGTTTCTTTCTAATTCCTCTGTGTTTGTAACGTGCCTTCAGCAGAATGAGCTTTACAGAACAGTGTGTGCATGTCAAATGCTGGCATGTGAGCACAATATTGTGACTCAATCAGCCTGTGGAGCTGATCCTTGCTACGTGTGAGGAACTAAATTATATTGTGTCAGCTGGGTGCTTCTGAGGGAGGGGAGAAATACTGGGAGAAAATGCAAAAATCATAGCTGGCAGTGGCAGAAACGGATGTGCCACGCTAACATTGCCTTGAGGGGAAAAGCCATTTAGTCACAAAGCACATTAATTTAATTAATTGTGTCAGCCTTGCTGAGAGACACATCCCTGATTAAACCAAACCTTTAATGGCTTTCCAAGATGGAGCCCCATAGAGGAAACTGGGAAAGAAGAATCTGCTGAGGGTCTGGGGGAGGGAGACAGCACCAGCAGAGCCCCCAGCTGGAAGTGTCTGTGACAGAAAGGTGTGGAGCAAACCCAAACCCAGCCGGGGCAGGGAGGAAGGGCAGAGGCACAGCAGAGGGGGCTCAGGGCAGGAGGGAGGGGGAACTGAAGGAACACTCTTGCTTCACGCTGCTTTTGGTTCCCCAAATTCAGAGCTTGGTGGATGCAGGGGCTGAGCTGGGCCTGCCTGGTTCCACAGCAATTCTCACTCACTCCGTGTGCACAAACCCCGATCCCTCCGTGCTCCAGCTGCAGGTGTTCCTCACCATGTGTCAAACACTTGGCTACTGTACACAGTGGAAAAAAAATATTTATCTTTTGACGTTTTCACGTGTTGATTCGTTATTTCCAACCATAATAAACCGAGAGCTTTGCACGTACGTGTGAAAACCCTCAGGGCTGTGAGATCCCACCTCAGCTGGTGCTGTGAGCCCAGAACAGGCAGCTCTGGCTCTCTGAGGCTGGCCCAGGTGTTCCTGCAGCTGCCTGCACGCTCTGGGGACAGCTCTGATGTGGCCTCAGCTCCCTGGGTAACGTTTGCAGCATTTAAACACTGGCAGGTGTTTAAATTCCACAGCAGGATTTAGGTGCTGCACTCAGCTCTTCCCAAGCTGGGCTTGGGAGATTTCATTTTAATTCATTCTTGGAAGATTTAATTTGAACTCGTAAGATTTAGTTCTTTAACTCATAACTTGTCTCTGGTGGAGCCCTCAATGACAGTTTTGTGTGCATTACTGCGTTTAGGTTAAATTTTAAAAAAATGGGACATTGCTGGAGGTCTGTGGTCAAAACTGTGTGAGAATCTCCAGTCTAAAAACCATAAATTTTTTTTGAATGTGTGTCCTTTTTTCTGAGAGTACATTCACATCTGCTTAGTTGAAGCAATAGCAATAAGGACAGTTCTGATGTTACTAAAAATAAAGCACAATTATCAGTAAGCTTTGACATGCTAATAAAAATATTCTCTAGAATTGCAAGTGTTTATTTGGTCTGTGTAAATTTATAAATATGTAAATTGTTAAAATAAAGGAAATATTTGTCCTTTTAGCACAGGATTGGTAACTGCTGTATGTAAGAGCCAGTAACACAAACTATTTTGCAATTTGCTGCTCTTTATGTTCACTTCCTGTGGTTTTTCCTGTTATTTACTCACAATATAGCTGGATATTTATAAAAAATATGATAACCTTGAGAATTTAAAACGTTCAGCTGGTTTTGGAAACCAAGTCCTTCAATGTGTGCGTGTACAACCGTTTGTTTATCCATCCTTAAGCCTGAGGAAGTTCTTATTTCTCCCATGAACTGATGTGCTCAGCTGAGGGCAGGCACTTCCTGGAGCTCAGCTGAGGCACGAGAGATAAACAGGAATATTCCCTGGCTTCTTGCAGTGTTTTGTTTAAACCATGCACTTGTTCAGGGTCAGAAATTCATCAGAGTGAGCTTTTCTGTCATACACAAATTTCCCCACATTGTGCTGGGCAGCAAAAGGCGAGTATGCAATCATTAGCATGTTTATTAAAGCCCCTGTTTTTATAAACTCAGTTATAAAAAGCCCATCATTTTTTGCTTGGGTTGTAGATTGAGTGATTGATAACAGCCTGGTGTTTGCTTTTTCTTCTTGCACTAAATCAAACTGTCCTCTTTTTATTTGGCCTTTTTATGAGTGAGTGAGCTTTCAGAATTCCACACCTCTGATTTACAATTTTTCTAGTGTTTATCATAAAAAGGCATTGCAGAGACATGGTGGGAGTCTCCCAGTTAAATCATTTTCCCTGTGCCACAAGCTCAGAATCTGAACCTTCCTCAGAAATGCAAAGAGAAATACACAGCTTTGAATTACTTACCCTGCCCAACCCAGACTGTAAAACTGCTTGAAAATCCCCAGTTTGAGTGTGTGACACATCCAGAGACAGCTGGGGAATGGGACAGCTCGGGGAGGAGCAGCTGGGGGCTTTTCCTTGTGTTAATCCCAAGCACCTGCTGTGGTTGGACACGTTAGAAATGAGAAAAAGCAGAATTCTTTGTGTGGCTGGTGTTTTCCATAAACACTTGGAGCAGCTTTCATTGCTGCACACTAATGAAAATGTAGCTGAATAAAGGAGGGTGAGAAAGAGCTGCTGTCAGAGAAAATTCAGAGTTTTGGGCCCTTCTGATCTACCCAGACTTCAGGGTATGGAGGAAGGGCCCATGAGGGGCTGAGGGAATACTGGAATATGTATCAAGCAATGTGGTCACTTCTAGTTGAGTCTAGACCCTGTGAAAATGTGGGAAATGTCCCAAATATCCAGGGAATTTTGGTGGAAAGGCCGGAGGTCAGTTCTGCAATCGGGCACGTTTACAGGAGAAGTCCTTCAAGTGGCAAAATCATGTTTGGGGCAGGTGATATCTGAAAAATATCCAAGATAAAGTGAAAAGGAGCCACTCCAACCAGAACACCAGAAATTGGTGAAAGGCTGGAGCCTGGGGCAGTGGAATTTGCTGCCAAACACAAACGTTCTGCAAACTCAGGGAGAGAGATGGGAAAAGAAGCAAATCCAATGTGTTGGGGATGTTCCCTCCCTGTGTGGTTCAGTATTTAAATATTCAGTGCCACAAGTGAGTCTGTGCCATGCCTGGGTGGTTTCTGAGCAGCTCTGGTGTGCTGGGCACTGCTCACAAGTTGTTTTTCCCCACATGATGCCAGTTCCTTCTTTTACATTCCAGCACATTATGTGGGGGTGAAAAAAACCCCTCTGGCCTGGAAATATCCCTGTGTCTTTTCAGGAACTTTTCCTAGTGGAGTGGAGGAGAATATTTGGAATATTTATTTTGAGAGAGAGGTGTCTCTGGTGAATAGGATAGCTGAAAATAAATATATTTTTCCAGCTTAAAAAAGGGCATTTCCTGTGGGATGGAGCACTCCTGATGTCTCAGTGGCACCAGGCAGAGAAGGGACTTGAGGTCCCAGCTGTAATTCAAACTGGATAATTAAACACAACCTTTGAGAGCTTTTGTGTGTAAGTTGTGACCATTTTAGGAAGAACCTGCAGGTGTTTTTGCATTCCCTTGGGTCTGTTAGATCAAATAGAGATTCCCTGAGCAAATCTATTGTGTTGGGAGCCTCTGGAGACCTGCAGGGACATTCAGCTCCCATTGTCTGGGGCAGGAGCAGCTTCGTGTGCTCTCAAAAGGAATTTTCAGACTCAAACCTGATGCGTTTTTGTCTTCAATAAAGTAGGTGAGGTCTGAGTGTTGGTATTGCTCATTTTCTGTGAATGTGTTTTTCCATGGGAAGATTTTTGCCTGCTCACCTTGAAGAGATTATACAGAGTTTGACATTGTGGAAAATGTCTTGACAAACACAGACCTTGCTATAGTCAGTTATAGTTAGTTATAGTTAGTATAGATAGTTCCCATGTTTTGGATGTTCTAAATGCTGGGGAAACACTTGAAAGAAAGCCCCAAATCAGAGTTTTGCATGCTGGGATCATTCTTGAATTGCAATTAATGTTGATTCTGCTTTTCTTGGAATACTAAACTCTTTTTTTTTGTCTAAAAGAAACAATTTTTGTGGTCCTTTGCAGGAGGAACCTGACCAAACTGTCCCTGATATTCAGCCACATGCTGGCAGAACTCAAAGGGATTTTCCCCAGTGGCCTCTTCCAGGGGGACACGTTCCGTATCACCAAGGCAGATGCTGCAGAATTTTGGAGAAAGGCTTTTGGTGAAAAGTAAGTTTCTAACTGTGCTTCAAAACAGGTGTGGGGGCAAATTGCACCCAGTGTTTTATAAGAATTCTGTTTGGCCCTTCAGGAAGGGCTTTGTCAGGTTCAAATAAATGATGGGAGAGATCTACTGATCATTCCTACATTAAATTTCTCAGGTTTTGTCCTGTCTGGTTTTAAATGTTTCAAGTGATGAATCTTTCCCCAGTTTCCCCAGGAGACTCTTGTATTGTCACAGTGTTTTCCTTGATTATTCAGCTTAAATTTTCCTCTCCTTGATTTAATTCTTTAACTTTTAAGTAAGCTCTACAAGCTATGCAAAATAATCCTTTCTTCTTCCAAAGGTTACCTTGCCCCCAACATGGGTTGTTCTTTAGCTAAACCTAACATTATATTCTTTTCATCTTCCCTCCAATTAGTCTTTCCAATCATTTACTCACCTCTCTTCTTCTCTGAATTTCTGTTTGCAAAATGTCTTTGCTAGGAGTGAAGGGGAAGGGGAAATGCAGCAGTCTTTGTGTGCAGACTGCTGAAATGTCAGGTTTAATTTCTGTAGCTAATGAAACACTGGCTAAATGAACCATGGAGGTGTTCACAGCAATGTTTGGGGATTAAAGTTAATGGATTGGGTACTGCTTTCAAACTGAGGGAGCTGAGGTACTTCACCTAAAGAGTTTAATTAGTAGCTGTCAGAACAAAAAGCCATAATGTATTTACTCATGAATAGCACAGTTGTCTGAAGTGAGGCATTTGCTTTCTGTGTTTCTATGCCACTTGATTTATTAAAAAAAGGAAAATATTCCTTTAAACAGGAGCCTGTGCTTTGGCTTCTGATTATCTTCCTTCTCCAGTTAATCCTTCTTTAGAGAGTTGGTTGCAGGTTTTTTTTAACCATCTAAATTTAACTTCTTCTCTGCCAGCTGCAACACTGCGAAATTATTATCAATAATGATGCTATGATAGGACTGCAGAAAGATGGAAAAGAGAAACCAGAGGAGAGCTTCTAATTCCAAAATTTTGCATGTGCAGAGAAAATTACCATAATTTCATTTGGCTGCTGATTTCCTGCAGTACCAAGAAATCTGCTTTTTGTGTGACACGAATAAATCTCGTGTGGCTGTTTTTGATTTTCCTCTGTTATCACAACGTGGGTGTGTTGATGGTGCTGGTGCTCAGCCCTTTGCCTTTCCCTGCTTTCCCCAGGACCATTGTTCCTTGGAAGAGTTTTCGGCAGGCCCTGCACGAGGTGCATCCCATCAGCTCTGGCCTGGAGGCCATGGCCCTCAAATCAACCATTGACCTGACCTGCAATGATTACATCTCAGTGTTTGAGTTTGACATCTTCACACGCCTCTTCCAGGTGGGAACTGAGCAGTGGGAATCACTTCAAGGGTTTTATCACTTCTTTATCCAATATTTTACACTCATTATTCGTGCTGTATGGGATTTGCCTTCCATCCCTTAAAGAGTTTTACATTGCAGTAAATGTGAGTAATATTTCTGGCTGTAGAATCAAAAAAATCCCTAAATATACACTGCAACTCCCAGGCACATTCAGCATCCTGCCATGAATCAGGTTTTCTCTTTCAAAGGTCACTTTGAGACTGGAGCTCTGACACAGCTTCTGCAAGGCAGGAAATGTGAAGCTTAGTTCATCACTCTTCCCTCATCCCTTTCTTTATTGTCAGATTTATTTTCCATGGAGGGAGTTGTTTCCAAGCATGGAAATTTGGGTTTCCTATCTTTTGAACTGCCCCAGCCAGGATGTTGTGAATGTGTCTGTGTGTGTGTGAGAAATCTCTGTATCACTGAAGGGATATTAACAGTAGGTAAAATTCTTCCCCACAGTCTCTAATAGTGCTAAATTCAAAAACACAGCTTCTGATGGTACAATTGGGTATTTACAAGAACAATCACTTACTTCTTTGGCTCTGCCTTGCCTTTTCCCATGTGATGGGGTGGGTTGTAATTAAGATATGTCTAGATGAAAAATTCCCATGTTTGGTGTTGCAATGTAGCTGATCTCATTCAGCACTTTTTCCAAGTGTTGTACATAAAGAACAAGTCAAGAGCTGCTGCACATTCCAGGGAGTGCTGATACCTTCCTGTAGACAAGTTAAAAAACTTGGAAAAATCAGGTGAGGTTTACACACCCAAGCTTTTCTCAAGATTAGAGATTTCAGATGGTTGTTATGACTTTTGGGGCATCATTTTAAGCAATATTTGAGATGTGTGTGCTGGTTTCTTCATTCAGATCTGAGACCAGCCACAGTCCTTGCCACACCCTGGTGAGGTTGGGGTGGTGAGGAACAGTCACAAGTTACAGACAGTGAAACTGAGACACAGAGGGGAGGTCACTGTCCCCAGGCCATGCAGGAAGTCGGTGTTGGGGAGGGAGCAGTCATGGTTCCTGGGCTCTGCATAATCTCATTAAACTCCTGCCTTTATCCCTGTCTGGGGAATGACTCATTCTCTCTGCAGAAGCAGCACAATTGATGGCTATTCTTAAGCTCTGACCTCAGTGACTTCTCCTTTTATATTTATGAAAGCAGTTTTGATTAAGGTCTGTCTTAGGTGATAATTTTATCCCCAACAAGCAACAAATTCAAATGCCAAGTGCTGCATAGGAATAAATGTTTTGGTTTCTCTGCTGGATTTGTGGTGGAACAGAACCATGTTTCTCTAACTGCAGAACCCTTTGGTTCAGGAACATTAACCCTTTGCAGAAGTGTGTGGTTAATTGGTTTCTTTGGTCATTCCCCAGCCCTGGTCATCTTTGCTGAGGAACTGGAACAGCCTGGCAGTGACTCACCCTGGCTATATGGCATTCCTCACCTATGACGAGGTGAAGGCCAGACTGCAGAAATTCATTCACAAACCTGGCAGGTGAGAGAGGGCTCAGCCAGCAGGGAGGGTCTGCCTGCCACCACTGATGGCAGCAGGGCTGACAGATTCTCTGTGCTCCTTTCTGCAGCCTGTGTGGTCACTTCTGCGCTGCTTTGAAACATGGAAACCTCCTCCAGTCTGTTTGTTTGTTGGCTTTTTCAAAGTTGATTTGAAACAAATGGTTTTAAGGATGTTAACTTCTCTTGCTTTGGATTCTGGGTTTAATTTCACCTGGAGGCCAGTTGGGTTCTTTTCCCATTTTGTATCATATTGCAAAGTTCCCCTTTGAACTGCCTGGGCCTCACTTGAGGAAAGCTGCTACAAATCATCAAGTTATTCCTACTAATTTAATTTGCTGTCTTGATATGGCCAGACAAAGGCTGCCTACTTGTCATTGACTGTTTTCAGTCAGTTCCAAGCTGAGCTTTCTTTTCCTTTGTGTGTTTTCAGTTACATTTTCCGACTGAGCTGTACCCGCCTGGGTCAGTGGGCCATCGGCTACGTCACTGCAGATGGGAACATCCTCCAGACAATCCCCCACAACAAACCTCTTTTCCAAGCACTCATTGACGGCTTCAGGGAAGGCTTGTAAGTAACTTCATAAAAATTAGGACAACAAAGCAGTTAAAATTTGAATAACACCATTGCTGTCAGTGGAATAAGTCATTGCTGAACTCTTTTGGCACTCAGGAATTACTGACAGCTGTCTTTGCACTGCAGAGCTGAGCAGGAGCAGATGATAAATGTGCACCAGGGCTTCCCTTCTCATAAATCCCTCTTTTTTTGGTCAAACCTTTAATTTGAACCAATACTTTTAAGAATGACATGTTTAATTTTAGAATTTCTGAAATAAAATTCCTCCAGAATTTTAGAATTCAGAATACCTTGACTTCCCACCCCTTGCTTCTCACCTTCATTCTTCCTTCCCTTCCCACTTCCAAAAGAAACCTTAGGTCTGTGTACAGGCATTTAGAGATATTTTTTCTCCCAACTTCTTCCAGTTATTTATTTCCTGATGGCCGGAATCAGAATCCTGACTTGACTGGCTTGTGCGAGCCCACACCTCAGGACCACATTAAAGTTACACAGGTGAGGAAAATATTCCATAAAATATTCCATTCCATGCAACTCTCTGTCTTTCTCCCTGATTTCCACCCTCCTTAGGTATTCACCCAGTTCTGTCAGACCTGTTTTTAGTGCTGCAGTATTTTACAAAATTCAGAACTCTTTGTGTGATAGGGATGGGCAGATGAGTTTGCAAAAACAGATTTTAAGGGTTTATTTTTAGAATGTTCTGCCAACATTGATGCTTTTGTGCCATTCAACATCAACATGTCTTGAGCCCTGCTTTTCTTGGGATGCTTAAATGAAAATTATTGGATAATTTGAATTCCACTTTTCGCAGAGCTTGACAAATGCATCTAGCACGTAAAACGATGGTGAAATCTTTGTATTTATGCTGTGATTTATGCTGGCCTTTCCCTCAGGAACAATATGAGCTGTACTGTGAGATGGGCTCCACGTTCCAGCTGTGTAAAATCTGTGCTGAGAACGACAAGGACGTGAAGATTGAACCTTGTGGGCACCTGATGTGCACCTCGTGTCTCACAGCCTGGCAGGTGAGCCTTGGCCTCTTCTTTATCTCTCTGAGGGCAGCTGCTTGATCTTTTGCAGGTATTCTTGTACAGATATCTTACAGAGTGTCTTTTACAGATATTCTCTTCTCACAACTGTTCAGGTGTGGAGAGAATATAGCAGAAACATTGTCTCATTATGTCACAGCATCAGAAGCTGTTTTAGCCTGATCTCTTAATATGGAATAAGAAAAAACTGTGAATCCTTCTTAAAGTGCTGTTTTTCTACTTCAAGGAGAAAATATTCCATATTTCTAACCCAGTTTGCCTTTGTGTTCCTCTCAGCTGCCAAAAAGCAGGTTACAAGCTGCTTGTTTGTGGAGCAGGTGATGATTGTGCCCCCCAGAGGCCGCTGTGACAGATCTGTGTGTCCCCTGCAGGAATCCGAGGGCCAGGGCTGTCCCTTCTGTCGCTGTGAGATCAAAGGCACCGAGCCCATCGTGGTGGATCCCTTCGATCCCAGAGGAGGAGGAGGATTGTCCAGGCAAGGGGCAGAAGGAACCCCCTCTCCCAATTATGATGATGATGATGATGACAAAGCTGATGATTCCCTCTTCATGATGAAAGAACTCGCTGGTACCAAAGTAAGCTCCTAAATGAGAAATTATAAAATACCTTTTCTGCAGCAGTTTTCTCTCAGTGATTTGTGCCCGTGAGGTTTGTCAGACTGTGTAGCCATAAATGCTACATGCATTTTCCATGCTCCCTATGGAAAGCAGGGGTTTAGCTCCAGCTTTGTGAGCTCATTTCACACTGCCACTTTGGGATCACACTTTGAAGCCTTTGATATTTGTGTGTTGTCTTGGAGGAATCCCCAGAGGGGTGAAAAAGCTGGCCTGACCTGTTGGAAGGGAAGGTCTGGGTTTGGAACACTCCTCTGTGTGTTAGATTTTGATTTCCTAGCCAGAATTCACCCAGATCAGCAGAAATTCATCCATTTTTCCCCATGGATGGATACAGCCTTGCCAAGGTGCTGATAAATAACAGGGTAGAGGGCAGGCTGTTCTGCTCAGGAACTCCTGTCATCTTTTTATATGGTGGCTGATAAATCTGTCCAATAAAGGTGTGATAGCTCTGCTTCCCTCCAGGAGTTGTGTGCAGGCATTCTTTGTGCATCCCTGCATGGCTTTTTAATTCCATTTTCATTTCTCATTTCAAAACCTCATTGCTGCTCTTGCATTTTTTATTTTTTTTTTACTGCATAGGGAAGTGGGTTTGAATTTGGTTAATTTTTAATAGCTGAATCAACTAAAATAAGCTGCATTTCCTAGTCAGAAAAAGTCTTCACCTCTGGTTTACCTGGAGTCTTTTTTCCCTTTATCTTTCATTCTGTGAAATAATGTAATAATCAGTAAGCACTATTCCTGGAGGGCTTTTTTAAAATATTTTGGGGAATCAAAGCAATTTTCTTGGTGTGACATCCTGTCAGTGTTAGAATTTTGTTGATTTTAGTGAGCTCAAACATACATGTAGCATTTCAAAATTCAACAGCATTAACTTTGATCGTTAAAAAAAGAGAAAACAAAGAGAATAACAGGCACTGTGCTGCTTTGTTAAGTGGAAAACCATCTTTCCAGAGATAAAAATGGAGGGTTTGGTGCACAGCAGTGCTCTGGAGTGAAAGCAGTTTGCACAGGGACAGGAGCTTTGCAGCAGATCGTGCCCTCTGGTGTTGA